CACGACGGCCGCGGCCCCGCCGTAGCAGCCGCCGCGCTCGCCGCCGGCGCCGCCCGCGCGGCCGCGTCAGCGGCGCGCGCCGCGGCGGACGCGGCTGAAGGGGAGGAGGAGGCGGCGGGCGCGGCCAAAGGTGGGGCGGCGGCGGCCGAGGCTGAGTTGGGGTTGCTGCTGGCGCGGCTGGGGGCGCCTGACGCGGCGGCGGCGGCGGCGCGGCACCGGCAGCTGGTGGAGCGGCTGGAGCGGCTGGATACCCTGCTGCCCCGGTGCGCGCAAGTGTGAATGTATGTGTGTGTTTTGTGTATGTGCATGTGTTCGTGTGTGTTTTGGGGGGGGGGAGATGCGTGCAGACACGCACAGTGGGCCCTGGTTGGGTTCGTGCGGGGCTCCAAGTTGGCCCGGCTCCCCCACGACTTCCCTCTGCCCGCCTAGCTGCATCCACGGACTTCGGCCCCACACCCGTGTGCACGCGCTTTAGCAAGACAGCCTGCCGCCCTCCGGCAACTCGGCGACCCCACAAGCCCGCCCGCCTGCCCGCCCGCGCGCCCGACCACGACGCCGGCGCCGCGCCAACGCGCACCCGCACGCGCTCCGCCGCTGGCTGCCGTGCGCGCGCCCAGGTACCAGCGCCTGGCGGCGCAGCTGTTTGAGGTCCTGAGGGTCAGCAGCCTCGAGGAGGTCCTGCCCGCGCTGACTCAGCGCCTGGCGCCGGGGGCGGCGCCGGGGCGGCCGCGCGGTCTGGAGGGGGCGGCGGCGCCGCCGGCGCGGTGAGGGGGGCTGCGGCGAGCCGCGCGGCCGCGTAGACGACGCCACCGGTGCGCACTGGTCGGTCCTTTGCTTCCTTTATTTCTCTGCACCTCTTCCTTCCTGTTTGACTGGCCCAATGTCGAAGTTTTGATTGCACTCGCCGCCCAAAGGGCCCCAACGCATTCGTGAGCCCTTAATGTTTTCATTTGTCCTTGGAACATAAAAGCCACCCCCTGGCCTCGGCGAGGCAGCCGCACCTGGCACAACGCAGCGCGACGCCTGCCTCCGCCTGCCGTTTCTCCAGCCCTTTGCCCCCGCCGCCCAGCCTGGCGGCCGCACCAGACCCGGGGGCAAAGGGTGCTCGGCACCAGAGCCGCGTGGACCCACAACCATCTTCGCTGCATGATGAAGTGTACACTCTCTAGCCCTCGTTCCTTCAATCTCAGCCTCGCCGATGTGCATGGCAGGGCAACCGCCTCTACAAGCTTGTTTGTCGTCAAGCCAACCCTCACATGCCCTGAGCAGTGGCGTACTGTTACACACACACACACACACACACACACACACACACACACACACACAGAATAACTGACATATGCAAGGCGCCGCGGCAGCCGGCGCCGAGAGTATCGTACAGCAAAAAGGGTCTTTGGAGACAAACGTTGCGTCCCTGGCTCATTTGCGACGGGTGCGTCGGCCGCGCCGCTTCAAGCACGTCTCGGGTGCCGGCGCAGCGGGGCGCGCGCCGGCGTCGAGACGCTGCCCCTCTGCGGGCGTCCCGAGTCGGATCCCGGGCTCCGTGCGCCGGCCATGCTTCATGCAAAACAGCTCGTGTCAAGTACGTATAGAAACGTCACGGGGTGAGACAAACACAAACGAGCAGTTTGGGCGGCGCAGAGGCCGGAAAAAGCGCGTCAAAAAACGGCGGGCGAGCAGCGCCTGCCAGAGCCGCGCGCGCGCGCCAGAGCGCAGGGGCCACCTTGACCCCGTCCCCCCACGCCGTGCGCGCCGCGCTGGCGAGCCGTGCGGCGCCGCGCGCCCGCAGTGAGCGCGTTGGCAGTGCATCTTATATCACCCCCCTCCCCATGACGGTCGGAAGCTTGCGGCCGCCGCGCGGCGGCGTCGCGTCGAGGGGAACCAGCCGGCCGCCCGCCCGCCGCTACCCCACGAGCCGCGTGTCGAGGATGCGGCTGCGCAGCGTCAGCAGCCGCCACCCGCCGCGCCGCCCGCCCTCGCCGGCGACCCACTGCGTTCGCACGTCGACGAGCGCGCGCGCCTTCTCCTCCCAGGCCTCGTCCGTCGGCCGGAACAGGCCGTCTGGGCCCGACTCCTTCAGCCACCGCAGCACCACGTTGCCGGGCCGTGACGGCGCGTCGCTGCGGGCGGGGGCGGGGGGGAGGGCAGGGAGGG